CGGACACAGCGCTCTTGCTGCTGTCAGCCCAACCACCTTCAAAAGCCACCCTGCCCTCATTAAACCTACCGGTAGGAGAAGGTGCCCTTGCCAAATTAATTATGTGAGACCAAACTGGTGGCAGCAGGTACCTAGAAGCACAGAGCTGGAGAGGAAGGCTCTGTCAGGATGGCCCAGCCTTGCTTGAAAGCATCACTTTATGCTCCAGTTCCAGCGGAAGATCCTTCTGCCACCCTGCCCCAGGGCATCCTCCTGCTGCACTACTGCCAAGGAACCACCCCAGGCTCCCACCAAGCCTGCGCTGCCCAGCAATGCTTGTGCAGCTCCCGAGTTAACAGGGTGCAGAGTTGGATCCCGGCCGCATGAACTGAATCAAAGTGATGCTCCGCCAACACGTTAGGAGGGAAAAAGAAAAGAAAAGTAAGGCCTATAAATTTTACTAAGCTGGCCGATGTCTTGATGCCGAAGCAGGAGTTCATTTGCAGCATTATTTTCACTTTCTTGAAAACAGACTATAAACCAGGGGAGTTCAAACTACTCCATAAAAAACATTTTCTTATTTCTAGAATCGAGTCAGAAATTCTTTTCAGCCATTGGTTTTTATTTTGCCTTTTCTCTTCCTTCTCTCCCCATGACTTCGGCACAATATCCTGCCGTGACCAAAAGCTCAAGTGTCAAAATCCTGCCATGAAGGTTCTTTCATGGAAAACAGTCAGAATTAGGAGGCACCAAACTGCCCCAAGACGGCATCTCTGTATAGGCACTGGGCAGCTTAGGTAGCTGGTGCACTCCTGCCTGCCCGCAGCAGCCACGCATCTCACACAGAAGGCCTGAATTACAGGCATCCTGTATTCGGAAAGGCAGCTGAAGGATTAGCAGAGAGCCCTGCACGCAGTCGGCACACAGGCTGGAGCTCCGGAGCCTCACCTCCCACGGGCCCTGGGCAGCCTGGTGCTTCAGCTGGATCTGCCAGTCCTCCGTGTTCGGTTCTGCGCAGTGGTGCATGGTTAAAATGACGGGCCGGGTTAGCAGCGCTCCTGGGGGGCCGCAGCTCACCACCGGTGTCAGCAGGGTTTGGCTGTCTTCTACAGGCGGCCTAACAACGGGAGAGAAAGATGGGTATGTTACGTCAGTTGGAAAAGGCAAAAAGGTACATTCAGGTATGTAAAAATAAAAAATCCTTCTCTTAAAATAAAAAGATTGTGCAAGCAAAGAAAGGGTGGGTTTGGTTTGTGGTTTGGTTTTTCTTTCCAAATCCCAAAGTGGTTTTTTTTTGCCAAATACCACTCATTTGTCGAAATGTAGGTTTAGGTGGCAGCAAATTATAGACCACACCTACTGAGCACCCCCCGCTCTGAAGCATCCTTGCAGACGATATGCAGAGGCTTCACTTCACCCACTGCCGAAAATGCAGTCACTGCTGCATTTGGCAGTTGTTTAGCAGCATACAAAAATGAGCAGTGGCTCTTGTAAGCACCATGTGTGAGAATTATTTACTGTCTGGACAGAGAAAATTGAAGAACAAAGGAAGAGAACTAATGAGAGAGAACATAATAAGAGAACATCTGAAACCTCCTAAGTGGTATACAGCACATCTGAGACGTGCAGTTTTGGTTCAGAGCCATCTCCAAACCCACTGATAGTCCATTTTACTTAAAGGGAGTTCAGATCTACTAGAATGGCTTTTGCAAATATGCCTGTGGGGAGCGAAGGGGTGGTAAGGAATAGTGCAGAGGGCAAAACACACTCGCAAAGCCTGAGATTTCTAGTGATAACCCAGAGCTGTTCAGTTAAAAACATGGGTATTGTCCAGCGCGCTTGCGGCCAGTCACTAGGAATGGGTGATATGGAAAACCATAGAAATATACAGGACGCATTGCATACACTGTAGTTTGTAAACAAGCGTGTGCATGTGTGCACGCGCGCATGCGTGTGCATGTGTGCGCCTGTGTAAACTACCCCAGACCAACTGCTGAGGAGCTCAAAATCGGAGGAAGCATGAGTGACTTTAACTGGTCATCTGGTATATGACAAATACAGCCGAATGTGCCTCATCAACCACCTCCCTAAATAATACAGAGGACAAATTCATGATCCAGAAACCAGCAAGCAGGAGATTAAAAGTGTTCAATGTGATCTGCGCTTAAACTCCAGTTCTGCCCACAGAACCTCCCGTCTTCTGCTCCAGCTAAGGGTTCAATCCCTTGTTGCATTTACAAATACTTGGATTTACATCTGTATTGGTCTTAGTGGCATCAGTTGAGATAACATTAAATACTGTTTATTTCTGCAAGTCTTTGCCTTTACCAAAAAAAAGTAGCTGTAATCTTAGATAACATTTTCAAGGAGGCCCAATCAGGACAGAAGCTGTTTTGATATCCAATTTATTGCACGTATTCTGGCTATTGCAAAGATACGTCCACGCGCATATCCTAATTTTGCTCACCTTAATTCTCCCTGAATAATCCATTAATCCCACAGAAAATAAAAGACTAACTTTTGAGAAATCCTTTTCCAAAGTGGGATGAAGGGACTTTTGAAAAGTGTCTCTTATTGCGACAACTGTTGTGGGAGGTTTTTATAACATTTGAGGAAAAAAAAGGTCCAGCATGGAAAAAATTTAAATCTATGGAAATCAGTAAATCCAGATGATATGCATCTGTGGAAATTAACTGATGAGTTTACTAAATGACTTAACAATTGTTTCTGAAAAGCCGTGGACTGGAAATAAACAGCTGCGATAGCTGCCTTTCAAAAAAGATGTAAAATATAGCAATCTGGACAGCTATCATGTATTATGCCGGTTATTTTAGCCTAACGAGCAGCACACAAAAGAAATGAAACACTAACAGATAGAGTACCTAGTCCAGCTCCTCTTGCATGCTGTAGGGATCTCTGGATTCAGATTAAGAAGATCAGGGATTGCTCTCTTGCAAGACTGAACTGAATAAATCATTGGGCAGTTTTTGACTAAAATGTTGCTTCTTTTTCAGACTCATTTACTTCAGGTTTTTTTCACAAGAAGCAACAAGAAGCTTAAAAAACATTCACAGTGTGGTGGTGGTTTGTAATGGTCATCTACCTTGTGCATTAATGGATATTTGAACACTCTCCTACAGACTAATTCAAGAAATTTCAAAAAACATAATGTCTTATGAGAAAGATCTTTCAAAATTACAGTATTTGTCTGGAAAGCTACAGATATGACAAGCTATAGACTTAATGATCTGGTTGACCTAACTTCATCTAAAAGACTACTGACCCATGAAGAAGGAAGGAAAAAAACACAAGTTATCATAGTTTTTTGGACTGAATTACAAAACCAGCAGTCAAAAAGAATATAGGAGGGAATATATCATGATTGCCGTAAAAAAATTCATCGAGTGTCTTTTAGGTGAAAAATGAGTTAAAATCGACAAGAATCTGAGCACTGATGCATGTGGTTAAAAAAAGCCAAAAGGTCATTAAAATAATACGGTACTGATAAATCATACAGCCTAAAGTTGTCTCAAAGTAAAATTAAGTTTAGCCACTGCTCCGTGACAAAATTTTGTTAGCTGTTAAATTTTAGGACTCTGATGGAGGGCATGATTCTGCGCTGCAACATTTTATATCCGATTAGCACACGTATAAAAAATGATGCAGAACACAAAGTTGGGGGGCGCTCCAGACTGCACAGTCAGCAAGTGAGATGGGAAGCAGATACAAGCATACAAAGCACATGAAAAAAATAGAAAGGCTTAGTATTTTTTTCCCCAAGTTGGTAAACAGCATCTTTGTCACCAGACTTAGGAGATTCATTGCCAAGTGGATGAGATATGCGTGCTCCTGGCCTGGGTGTTTATGATACAGGACACTCTGATGAGCGAAGAGCAGAAAAATGGGCCAACTGAGAGGGTGGTTGATTTTGCAGTCCCCAGTTGCCAACCAGACACGCATCCGAGTCCGGCACCACAAAGTTATGGAACGCTGCTGGTCCCAATGACTCTTCCCCACCAGCCACCTCATGCAGATACTGGTCCCCTCAGCTCCCCACCAGTTTGGGGACTGCAAGTGACCTAACTACTTTAAGCCTTTAAAAACTGAGATATAATGAGTTGCAGAGAAGTTCTCGAATGGTGTGAAACAGGGGTCAGTGTCACTGAACAGGTGAAATCCCAGCTCTGTGGAAGTCAATGCTAAACCTTTCCCTGACTACTGCGAGGCCAGGATTTCTACTCGCAATGTGGAAGGCAATGTAAATAGCAACACAATCATTAAATTTACAGATAACAGCAAGTAAGGAATTATTGCAAGTAACAATGAGAGCCAGAAAATAATGCAAAAGATCCAGAGGGGGTAAAAATATGGGTAGGAGACAAAATCCTATTAATTGTACAGCAGCTCACACTTCCAGAGCAAACATAGTTATTTAGAGGCAAAGAAAAACAATAAAAGTGAAAAAGATTTCAGGTGAGTTTACTGCTGCAACGCAGCAGGCTTCAACGTGTAATGTGACACAGTGGCAAAAAGCAAATCTGATTTCTGGGGCTGTATGGGACAAGGCATGTCAGGGGACGCTGAGGTGATACTCCCTTCCCTATCCAGCTCTAACGTGACTGCAGGTAGCAGGGTGTTTAGGGACCACAGTGAGATCTCGGAAATAAACACCTGAAACCCGAAGGAATGAGGCTAAACCACGCAATGGCACATACAGCAGAGAGGTACCCTATGACAACTGACAGGAAAAAGGAACAAAAATCTCTTAGCAGATTTTTTCTTATTTCTCACTGTTTCTAATTTCCATTTTAAAACAAAAGGATTATGCCTTACTATAGCTAATGAGACCAGAAACAGATGCAGTAGACAAGATATATTATACAAGAGATATTAATCTTTCTGCTCCAAGGCATAAACCCAACACTAATTGATGGGATTAGTAAACAACAAATTCCCCTGAAGACAGGTTATTGTGTAGTCATTCATTACGAGTAATTTTCTGCCTTCTCCTGGAGCAGGTGATGCAGCACCTGGCCAGGATCCTGGCCTAGACGAGTGCCTGTTGTAACTGAGTATTGCGATTTCGGTGTTATAGATCGCAGGAGATCCAGCATAAAACACAGAGACAGAGGAGCATATAGAGCAAGGGAATTATCTCCTCTAAAGCAGAAAGATCTTTGAGCAGACATCTTCAAAACTGTGGGCCAGAACCTACTTTTAGGCTGTTATACAAAAAAGAACCTCAAACCCCAAAAAACCCCATATGCTTCACTTGAGGCTTGCAGCAGTCTTGGGATGACTTATTAGATAGGACTGGGCATTCAGCTGTGCTAGTATGACTCCAAAGTCACTTCACTGCAGGTGAAAGAGATGGTTTTGTTTTACAAAGATATGACTGAGACTAAAATTCAATCCCCTGCCTAGCATTGCTATTAAAAGGCACTAACAGTAACTGAAAGGTCTTCAGATATTTTTAGATGTCGTCCCATCCTGCACCGCTTATCAAGAACAGTCACCTTTTATTTAAGAGCAAACAAACTTTTATTCACTATATCTGGTCCCTTCACAATCAAATTTGTGTTTTTAATGGGATTACTCATTCGAAACTGTCTCCCTCTAACAAGCCAGACCATATTCATTAAGGTAGCTGTCAGACAGCAGATGTGAGCACAACTACAGAAATCTCTGCTCCTCAGTGGGCCTACATCACGCTCCCTGGCACCATGTGTAGATGTTACAGGCAATCACAGCAGCTCAGGAAGCACAGGACGGAGCAGGGAGAGAGGAATGGCTGACTCATAGCAACAGATGGCAACCCTTCTACACAGCTTAGTCAAAAGTCAGAGGGAAGACATTTTATTTCTCCTTTCATTGCTGGGGCCTTATCTTTAATATGTATTCCTTCTTAAGTTTAGACTTATATTCTTGACTGACCTTGATTCTTCTGCTAGTCTATCTTTAGAAAGAAAATGAGCTGAAAAGTTTTGCTCCCCTTTTGCTCATGCTCTGGTTTTTTTTATTTTGAATTTTTCAATTATAATGACTGGCACTTCATGAAATTGTCTTCTGGAGTTGCAAAGTAATTTTGTTTATGCAACTGAGATACAGAAGGAAAGTAGAGAAACGAGATGTGGAAGACTTCAATTTCTTTTATTTCACATCACTAAGCTTAGAGTTTACTGGTGAAAAAGGCAACATTGTTCCTTGGATCAAACTCACTGATCGGCTGCGTGACTTTAATATAAAGTCTATACATATATTGTGAAGCCACTGATTCAAATCCTGACAAGGCTCACCCGACGATTCTCTCTTTTAAGGTAGCTAATTTGGAAGTTGCACAATTTATGTGTGTCTTCTATCAAGATCTTCAGGAGCACTGCTTCCTCCATTCTTCAGGGTTGTCACATTTCGTGGGCATGGCGACATCCACTCTCACTTGCATCATCTCCTGTGTGATGGATTACACAGGAGTGCCCTTCACTGTGCCATATTTAGTGCAGTTCTTGCCTCTGATTAGAGTATGCAAGAGCAGCTCCACCTAAAGCTGTGCAAGCTCGGCAGGGGTTCACGCAGGAACGCGGGAACTGCCATACAAGATGAAACCAGTGGTCCATCAAGGCCCGGACCCCATCTAGCACTGACCAGTGCCAGATGTTTCCAAAGGAAGCACACAGCTCCACTAATTTAGCTCACAGCTAAACTTGTTTTTTAACCCGAGGCAGTCAAGAAAATCCTGAAGGTTGGAGGTTTATACTCATGCTATTTAATCCTTAATCGTGTAAGACCTAGGCTCTCACAGATGCTCATGGGAACAGGCTCTCGCCAGGTACTGGTCACAACAACGTGTTTATTTTATAAGTGAAACCACAGCTCAAGAAGGCACCCCTGCTTGTAAATCTCTAAGTCAGTGATATTTCCCCAGACTAAGGGAGAGAGCATCTGATCACCACTGAAAAAGCTACAGAAACCTGTAGACAGTTGTAAAATATTCTCATAGGCTTGTCATTTTTTCAGTTATATATATATCTATATACACACCCATACATGTATCTATATATACACCCATACATCCATACATATCTATGTATACATATAAATACATAGATATCCTTTTCCCCACTGTAGCTACTTCATAAAGCACAAGGACCTTTCCAAGAGGTCCAGAATCTCTCACGCCAGCCAGGTATCAGAGCCCGGTAGCTGCTTGCCATCCATCCGGCCCTGAATGACAGGCAGAATGAGGATGAGCTTGCAGTGCAGGAGCAGGAAAACCAGCCTGCTGGAGTATCAGTTTAGGAAAAGAGAAAACCCACTGTGCCACAAGCACGCTAACACACTTTTAGAGAAAACAACTGCCTCAAGTGGCGTTTATTGCAAGCCATCAGAACCCCAATTCACCGCAGAAGGATAATGCTTTGAGGGTGACCCTCCTGCTCTCACACGCTTTGATGGATATGAAATGGAATAAAGAGAATGTCTCGGAAAGCTCTCCTAACCAATCTGCAAGGCAACACAAAGAATGATATTACTGGGTTATGAAGTCTCTCAAATGTCTGTACTACAGGTTTCAGAGATTAACTGGGGAAATATATTAGGAAAACAAAGGAAGGAAAAGAAAAGGGGAATTTGCAGGACTCTGAGGGTAACAGATTTCCTGTTTCAGCTTGACTGTTCAGAAGTCGCTCCATATTTCACAAACAAAGTGTGAGCTAAATCTGAAGTTGCTGGAGATACGTGAGCTGTGATGGTACGCCTCTGCTGCTGCACTGGTTCTATTTAGGGTAGTGCTACGGGGACCACATTCTCGCCTCAATGGTGGTTGTAAATCAAGAAAAAGAGCCTGCTTTCATTTCTGATTATAACACCCATTTTATAGTTTCCTATATGTCCCCCTCCAAACTACATCAACACACGACAGGACTTTTCAACCCACATGCATTTACACAGTGCACATGAAAATAAATACAGGGCCTCACAGGGTTTATTGAACACACTCCAGTTACCGCTTGGCCAGAAAAGCGAATGTCTGCAGCTAGTCCTTACTGTGGACTATCACTCTCCGCTGGAGTGCTGTAAGAGTGCAGCAGCGGATTTAAAAAATAATTAGGCTGCACACTAACTCTGTGGTACCTACATGACTTCAATTATATGAAGTAACATCTGTGGCCATGCAGTCAGAAAAAGAGGCTTTGACCAAGCTACAGCTCTGCTACAGAAAGTGAAGTGTCTGGTAACACAGTCCTGCAGCGGGAGACCATTACAGCTGGGTGCTGGGTGCCACCCACCCCCTTCTGCTCCTGGGCACCTGGGGAAAGGGAGCAGGGAACAGGGGAGGTCGTTACAGTCCTGCAGCGCTTAAGCCCTTTTCGGTGACCATTTGGTTCCAAGTGATCTAGACAACACCTGACGAGCTCCATTTTCAATGTCCTAGAAGCAGTTGGTTTCCATGAGCATGAAGAGCCTGGCATGCTGGAGGGGGGCTGAAAAGCTGCCATAGATCAAATAAGCAACTGGGGTCTGTGTGCCCAGGAAGCGATTACCACCACGATGGCCAAGGCAGCCTACCCTCTCCTCTCCTCTCCTCTCCTCTCCTCTCCTCTCCTCTCCTTGGGGAAGAAATCACTTCTCAAAGTCTTCATTGCAAGTGAGGATTCACACCTTTCCTGTTCTCTTCTGCAGGCATACTTCAGCACACTTGCTCAGTTTGGCAGAGCACAGCTCCAAGCATGCTTTTGCCAATACAGGTTAACCTATCCTTCTATCTCCTGTGTGACCTGCTGAGTAACAGCTATCACAAAGCACGCAGAGGAGGCTTTATGACCCTCAAAGAAAATAAATCAGACTAGCACATGACATTGGTTGTCCACAGCTGCATGAATAAGGAGGCAGGGATTCCCTCCATAACTGGCTGAAAAGAAAATAATTCCTCCTAGGAATGAAATAATTTTTTTTGGAAGAATTAGATATTTTGAAAAGGCAGATTTGGAGGCAAGCTGAATAACAGGGGATGCCCTCTGATTTTAGTTTTTTTTTCCTTCTGCAGGAAAGTCCTTATTCAACGCTTTTCTAAGTGTCTTTAAAACACAGCCAAAAGTAATAGGAATACAATCAATACTAGATATGAACAGAGACACTTTTTCTGTAGCTGCAATTAGCTATTTTCAAAAAGCAGGCGATGAATAATGTATGCAAAAGGGTGGGTGGAGGGCTTACTTATTTTTTCTTTAAGCAGATTATTTTAGCATGGGTGAAAGACTACCAAGCTAAAGAATAGTGTTCAATATCACGCAGTGTATAAACAGCTGTGGCTTAGCACATAATGAAAGCCATTAAGGGGCTGAGCCAAAAAATGTACCTAGCTATGAGGAGAAGAAAGAGGCAAAGTACCGTGTAATGATTGCTTAGATTCACATTTGCCATTCAGCCTTTGTGCACGAGTCCATCCTGCAGACTAAGATCTCACCTTTCTCTTCATTAGGTTTTCCTAAACTGCTTCAAATGGTGTCTTGGCGTTTTTGGAAACTTTTTTTATGCCAAGGCTTCCCGATCGCTCAGTAGACATCAAGATCTAGAATATGAATTGGCCACACATGCAGATAACAGGTGAGAACAACAGGGGTCATCCCAACATTGGCTCTGGGTGGCCCTCGGCGTGCTGTGCCTGGGGCTAAGCAGGACAACTACTTGCTTACTTCTACCTCGGAGCAAGGAGGGGTGAAGGACACCAAAAGCTTTGGCTCTGTCCTCTTCACTGCACAGACTAGCCAAGCCCATGAAGGGTAAAGTAAAAATTCACCTTCATTATAATAGGAGAGGAGATTTTCCAAGCCAGGTGCTCAGGCACCTGTCCCTCTTCTGAGCCAATTTGCCACCTTGCTCCTCTGCTCCCTTCTCCTTTGCAGCACGGGTCTTACCTCACACCTTCTCTGCTGCACCAAACTCACGCTGGCACATTTTCCTCACTTCTGGCTATGATTCAGCATTCCCCCAGCTTGAGGGCTTGCTGCAGAACGCAACTCTTGGTTAGAAAAGCAAAAGTTCTGAGCTGGTTTTGCGGCAAAGTTTATCCTTGGCTTTGCCCACATTTAGCTCCAAGTCAGCAGATAGCTTCAATGCAGTTGACTTTGCATAAACATATTACCACAGGTCTTTAGTTACTACATTGTTCCCCTCTGTTAATGCACAAGCAAATAAAGACAGTCTTTTACCTCATGTTCTCCTTCCTGTGAACTGTCACATACATTTCATAGACTCTCCCTTGTGGAACAGCCCCCGCTGGGATCAGCAAGCTTACTCCTGCAGAACGGAAGAGACACAAAAGATAAAATGGAAAAAAAGAGGCAAGTGGGCCTGTGAAGAGGCATGACAGGAGAGGCAGAAGATGAAGCCTGGGATCCCAGATTTTCACCCAACCTCACCAGCAGACTCTAAACGACCTCGGGAGGAACTCGGGAGAAAAAGTATTTACTGCAACCCTGGCGTCGCAGATCCGGCAGTCAGCTGGTCTGTTCTTACTCCTCTTGTGCGTCGGCACTGAAATAGGGGAGTGGAGAAGAGGATTTTCTTCCCTTCCATTTTATTTCATTTAAAGAGCAGACAGACGGTTAGGCTGCTGCTTACCTTGTAAAATGATGGAAAAACTAACAACTCTGACTAAAACTAAAGCTGTAACGGGACATCTCTCCCTAGGCAATTCTTACTTAATTAAAATCAGGAAAGAAAGGCAGTGCAGCACTGTCCCAGGAAGCAACAAGAACTAGTTGTTTTCTGAAAGATGGCTTCTGCGACTGGCATCCTGTCTTTTAATGCGCTCAGCTTCTAATTAGACTGCCAGGGAGGCAAAATTGGGCTTCTTGGTATTTTGAAGTGTAGAGTGGCTCAAAATTCGGGTATCCAACCTTGAAAAAAATGTGGGCAAATATGCTCTGTGCCCTTTCCAGTGACGATTAGCTGCACACTTGATATTACAAAACACTGTTCTTACATTACTGCAATTTCAGAAATGTAGCAAGTGACTCCCCAGAAAACAGAGGGTCCTGTCATTACATGACAAACACGGCACATGAACCAGCTATTTCACTCTGCTGGACACGTCTCAGCCAGCTGTCTTTGCAGATGTGGATTAGCTGGGAATCAGTGGCAAGGATTTTAATACAGTTATTACTACACAGCTGAAAACAAACCTACAGGCAGATTATTTACATTTACACATATGCTCGAGAGAGGCTTTATAGAAACTTTGCACGGCCCTGTCTCTCCTCTTTAGCATACATGGTTTGGTTACGCTGGTGCCCTCCCATGTGTTGGTGTACAGGGGCTCAGTCCCATACCTGGCTTTGAAGGGGTGGGATTAGCTATGAAAGCATTTTCCATGAATGCCTTCTGACACTTGTTTCTTTTCAGGCCTGTTACACCTCAGCTGTGCATGTTCTCAGCTGTAACAGGGCAGGCGTAGCGTAAACGAAGGGCTTTGATCATATCACTAGGTGGATATACATACATCTAGAAGAAGCACGGAGGCATACACGGTAGCGGTAGACAGACTGATGTATTTTAGAAAACTTATCTTAATCATTTTGAAGGGATTACAGCAATAAATAACCATCTTTTTTTCTTTACAAATTGGTATTAACATATGTGAATTAAATGTGACTAATAGACTTTGCTGACAATGTACACCACCATGGCGTAAGAAACCTGAGTATTAATATCTACCTTCAACTGCTACTTAAAGAAATGTGAAATCCAGGACTGTATAGCATAAATTTTCAACACTGCTCAGCAGTCAGCACCAGATTTCATTAAGTAGTTCAGCTTTCACTCAGGCTCTTAAATTTAATAGCTATTTTTGCCCCCTGTTCCACGGTAGCTCAGAGAGGAGGACTACTGCTCACCGACCACTTTTGGCTGCTTCCTGGGCAGTGTGGGGCTGCGTCCTGGAAGGTTCTGGGCCACCTAGGTGTTTTGCTTTCTCCATAACATCAACAAACAAAAAAAGATCCAGTAAAGGAGCAAGAGACAAGGGTAGGCACTATCTCCTCAGTCAGGGCACTGTGCTCTAAAAAGGCCTAGAGCTGACCACCAGGTGTAAAGGAGGAAGGCAGAAAAGCTGTGAGACCTTGAGCTATCTCATCAGGGAGTTGTGGTCTCACATATACTGTGGCCCTACCTGGACTCAGAGCTCCAGAGAAACCGGGCAGGGGGATTCCTGATCACTGTATAGCCTATATATCCCCCACATCCAGTGTTTTATGCATTTGATTCGACCCCACTTCAGATGTTAATGCTGCTCTTCATTAGCATGCCCAACCCATGGGAACATCTAGGTGCTGAACTTCCTTTGAACGTCACACTTCATTTAGGAACCAAACAGCAGAATGGCTCTCCTAAAAAATCTGGCTGCGAGAGCCAAACTCTCCCAAGGCTGCCCAGGAGCTCCCTGGATGCTCTGCAACTGCCTCCTGGTGCCTGGGTGGCTTGAAGGGGGCCCAGCAGCCTGGCCTTGTACCCTATGAGAAAGACTGAGCAGCACCTTGCAATTACATCAAAGGGCTCGGTCCCCCTCTTTCCTAGTTGTAAAACAAGTCAATCATATGTATAACAAGGAAAGAAATATAGAAAAGACACTCTTGGGCCTTATTTTCCTTAGGTATGTAACGTGTGCAGGAAAAAAGCCTTCCAAAAATTAGTATTCTGCTGTCCTACTTCAATACCACACAGTCTGCAATGAATTGGAAGTGAAACAACCGATTTGTTTTTTAATTAATTTGTCCTTTTTACGTGTGATGACAAGATTGAGGCTTTCTGGCTTGCAGTCTCTTTTCTACAGCTGCATGAAAGGACAAGGTCAAGGATGCTGAATCTCACTTCACACAGCGAAGCTCTGAAGCCTCGCATGTCTCAGAAAGTGGCTAAGAGCCCTGCAATATTCTGTTAAAAAGGTGGCCAGGACTTTGGGAAAGGAATACTTGAAGTACCTTGGTAGACCTGAATAGGGGGAAAAAAATCTGTTTGTTCTGAACAAAGAAAAGGCAGAGTCCCAGGAGTGACCCTGTTTTTTCTTACATAAAAGCAAGCAAAGTCCACTTAAAAACACAAAACAACTGAGCCTTTAAGCCAACATGGCTAGCACTTACCTGAATTGGGAATTACTAGATGACCTCCTAAAGAATTGAAGGTCCCAAACGCCGTGCACGATGGATCTGTTTGCCGAGCAAGGCTCTGGGTTTTCATGTTCAGGGTCTCATTCTCCAGCAGAGACTGTGTAATCTGTGGGGACAGCTTGGAGGAGAAGTCAGAGAGGTCATCCTGGGGAGTGACTGCGCCAGAGGTGTTATAAACCTTGATTTTCAGGTTGGGCAGCGGGTCCAGGATCGGAGAATTGGTCATTGGGATTTTATCAGAGACGTCATGTAAGGCGTAAACAGGACCCCTGTACATGGCTGCAGCAGAAGTGAGGTCTGGTGGTACCGCAAGGAGGTCTGCATTGGAGATGAGAAGGAAGAACAGAATTACTTCTCTATTCTGATTACTTCCTTCTGGGTAACAATTCAGATTTGCATTCTGCATTTTGCATTTCATACCAAAGGTTAAGACATGCAAAGCCCTTGCAGACTGACCTTGGTCTCCTTTCCCATGCATCTCTCCAGCAAACTCCCAGGGCTTGTATTGCCCCAGCCGCTATGGAATCTAATTGTCATACAAAATTACAGCATGTTTCTGCTCTAAGGATTTTTCACCGGGATTATTTTTCCAGGCTGCACTCAGATTTCCAGTATGACATGCTTAGCTTCAGGGCAAGATGTTTTCCATACTCAGTAGATCTAGTTTTATTACTAATCCCCCCACTCTAAATGCTAAGTGAGAATCATTAACCGATTTATCTAATTGGCCTAATGATAGCATTCCTGAAATAAAAACCAGAACAAACCTATGAAGTCATCGTGCCCAGTGGGGGATTAGTACCTGCATCACACTTTCTGGAGATTCGTTTTAAGAGTATCCCCAGCAAAGAAAATGACACTTCTGCTAATCTTCCACATGACAACTCTCTTGTCATCTTAACTCTTACTTTGATTTATTCTTTTTGAACACATGTTGGAAAAAAAGGGGAACTCTACAGCCTAAATATGGGTCTGGAAAAAGCCAGCACTAACTTTAGAGTGTTTTTTTCTGGCCAATGAAGTGTGGAAATAATCAAGCTGTTATGCACCAGTGATAAAAATGCTCATTATTAAATGATGTTCTATGGCAACTTCTTCTTCTACGTTGTCTGTTGAAAGTACAGTACTTTCAAACTACTATTTATGCCTGTGGAGACAGGGCACAGTAAAAAGGCTATTAGTGAAACAAAGGGGAGGAAGATGTGATAGAATTACTGTACTGTAATATCATTCCTGCGATGAATCCTGCCTCTGTTGTTTCTGTCAGAGCTTTGCCTTTGATTTAAATTTGAGCTGGACCTGTATTTCCATAAATGTCTCTGTGTCTCACTCTCACATTCACGCTCTCTCTTCAGAAGTTAAATTCCTCTGCTTTATGCTCTTGAGCACATCTGAAAAATGCCAACGTGGGTTTTGGGCACTTGACCATCAGAAACAAATGGATATCATCTTTCTCCCTTTTATGAAGTGCCAACAATCACCCAGCGAATATCATTCATGCAGCCCAAGAGACCATAACCTTATAGCATCTCCCTGAATTGGTCAACACGGAGTGAAATGACAACTAACCTTGCCTTGCAGCCTTGATGTTAACAGGCTGAAATCCCCCATTTAGTGCTGAGGAGTCGATAATATCTGACTCAAAGTCACGGTGGTTCTTGCGATAGACGAACAGGGCCACAACCACGGAAATAGCCAGGCACACAATCACGGCTATGACGATCCCGACGTAGAGAGCAACATCGTCTGAGTCAGGAGCAGCTAGAGGGAGAGAGGCCAGGAACCTTGAAGAAATGTGCTCCTCACAGGGACTTTCAAGAAAACACATTCTTACTATTCTCGTTCCCTGCAGATATTTACTACATTTTTTTATAGGTTAATTTAAAATCCATTTCCAAAGCTATATAACAGGTCTATGCCCTTTTGATGGAAATGATCTTTGATTTCTCTCTAACTTGTGTTCTGACTCTTTGCCTATCTACTCATTCATCTGTCTAGTACCCAGGCTGTGAACTATTAAGCATAACACAAGTTACAGACTTAGTCTCATGAAGTAAATTCATGAAATTACGAAGTTATGAAATAAAGTTATGAAATAAAACGGTATATCATGGTGACATAGTGTCATAATATTGGTATTTAGTGGTTTTTCTGATAACAAAAAAATGTGGGATTTTAAACTTCAGAAGCCCTATTTTTTAATTAAAAAAAAGTCAAAAGCCCCAAAAAGTCCATTTTCTATGGAATACCTGGACTATCAGGATGTATCTTTGAGTCTGCTTTTTTTGAACTGTAATGTGTCAAGCCATTTCTCCCTTCCATCCATTTCCCTTTAAAAAAAAAAACTAGTAAAGCAGAGAATCAAACACCGAATTCTCATCATTGGCATTAACACATCCGTATTTGGAAGCACAAGAAATAATGTGGTAATTTACGAAAAGGAACCCAGATTTATTAGAGCTGTCTTGTGAGAAAATGGCTATGATATTTCTACTAGCTGCTTACACCGTATCTTCGGCACTAATTCCAGGCTAATCTCTAGTGTCGTTATCCACTAGACATTTTTTTCCAAAAAGTCTGAATATATGACCAAAATTTGATGTGTTTCTATACAGTGAAGAATCCCAGTTTTAGAGATAGCACAATGAAAAAAGAAAGTGCAAAACCAAGTCAAACTTTTTTACTACCCCGTTTTCGTTAAGTTTAAAACATGTGAAATAATTTTTACTTTATTTTTTGTTCCCTGCCTTCTAGCCATTGAAGCCAGGCTGCCCTCCAGTGCAGAGGTGAGAGCTGGCAGATGTTGAAAGGGTCTGATCAATCTCTGTATGCTCCTAGCTTTCAGCCCTTCAATGTACCAGTCTCGAAACATCACATTTTTTTCCTCAGCAGTTCAGGAAGCAGATCTCCAAGTTCCAGCTCAAAGACAAGTTATCCCTCCACCACATTTCTTACATTTGCTAAGGAAATTTTAATGAGAAGAGGGTTCATTCTCTCCAGTTTCTGCCTCAGAGGCAGCATCTTCTCCCATTTTCCTCGTGCATAAGGGCCGTTATCATTCTGTGTCAACCCACTGACAGTGAAATGCTGCGACTGCTGTCAAGAAAGCAGCATGCCACTTACTCGGCCGAACAGGTCCCTCTTTGCCTAGTCACACAGAGCTGGCGTAACAGTAAAGCTTGACCCAAGGAACAGCATCAAATTAGCATCCAGGAACGTAAAATCAAACATTAAACTTACAAGAAAATCCATATTCATTCTGGGTTCTCTGTTCAGTTGAAATAGGATAAATGAAACCTTAAAAAGAAAGAAATTAAACAAAAATGGGAACAAAATCAAATTAATGAGGAGAACAAAAAGGGAAGCATGAAAAATGGTTTCATTAAAAAAAAAGAAGGAAAAGAAACTGATGGCACTTTAAAATTCTGATACAGCACAGAATTATGATTTTGCATCCCCTGTCTCCTCCAGAGCCTTACTAAGAATTAATAAGCAGGCAGATTGAATTTCTATGCCAAAATCGGTCTCGAGTCACTAACTTTGGAGTGCTTAAAGTCTTTCTTTTATTGAGCATAAACTCTAATGGATCTAATTTATTTCAGACATCAAGGGTCATTAGCATATGGAAAGTCTTTTTTCCCTATCCCTGCCATATGCTTTAATTCCCAGGACATGTTCGGTGAGGCTCTAAACAGTTTTTTTATTTAATTATAGTAGCTTGCCGTTGATCTAATAAAGCTAAAGGAGACCTGTCGTCACTGGTCAGAGGTTAAATACCCATTCGCTGAGCAGAGTCCATGCACAAAGCCCTCTCTCTGTACTTCCCTGGAATTATTTTATCCTGTCTTTAATACACGTTCAATAGGAATTCCTCAGGGAGCAAAGAATTTGTCAGCAAATGGGAAACTGAGTGGCTTCTATTCAAAATTATTACAAAATCAATAAGGCCCCTGGGGTCACAACATTATTTATTTGAAATCTTTGCAAGCACCGTATATTGACAAAGTCGTAACACAATTTACAGCTGTATTTTGGAACGGATAAATAAGAGAGATTGTTTCCTTTGTCTTTTCTTTCTGCAGCTCCTCCAGCATGGCACGCTGGAGCTGCTCAGTTCGCACACGAGTCCTATGAACTTGCTAAGCACCTCCCAGCTGCTTTCCATCCATACGGGAATGCTGCAAGTCCCACCCTGCTGGAAAGGTAAATGACAAATCCAAAGTAAGCGGGGGAGTCGCTGTCAGGGATGGGATTAGAGTCAGTGTAAGACAGAAGGTACCGCTCCTCCATCACCTTCCCTCCAGTGCTTTTGAAGGGAATTTCACCCCCTCTCCCTGGATCGCACTGTGAGGAGCGCAGGTGGAACGAAACTGGAAAATGCACTCCTGGCACGTGCCTAATGCACAGGACCACGCTGCAGGCAGACTGGGGTAATAATCCCCAGCTCCCAGAAATGCTGAGTTTGGGTGCTCGGCATCTGTTGTGCTTTACATAGATCCTCCTGCCTGGCTGCACTGCTTGCTAATGAAGATATAGTCTATCCCAACCGCAGGTATAGACATACCTCTCCCCGAAGTTTCCAGACATTAACTATTGCGTAAATGCTACCTTAACTGAAATACCAGATGTACTGGGTTTGCATGGCAAGGTTTTGGCAGTGGAGGAGCTACAGACGTGGCTTCTGTGAGAAGCTGCTGGAAGCTTCCCCCATGTCCAATAGAGCCAATGCCAGCCGAGCCCATCAGCAATGGTGGTAGCGCCTCCGGGATAACATAGTTAAGAAGGGGGAAAAAAGCTGCACAACTGCAGCCAGAGAGAAGAGTGAGAATACGTGAGAGGAACAACTCT